CTCTACATCACGTATCGACCTATATATCGCCATCATCATCGAACAGCGAAATACAGTGAAGCGAACTTCACTGATCACTGCCAAGTTCACAGTGTACACGAATCAAGTGATAAAGAACAAGATGGAGAGGAATTGGGCCTAAATGGAGGCAGGCAAAGAAAGTGGTTCTCTATGGTCAACACACAGTACACAATCGAACTCTGCATACATACGTTCTCAAGCATTCTGAACTGATAAGAAATGACAACAAGAACGTCACTGCTGTCGGTTCGCTGCCATATCCTTCAGTGTCTCCAACCAACCAATTGCGGAGTCTTTTGGACTCCCACCTGCGAGACGTGAAACAGCTATTCTACCCAATCGCTCTGCGCATTTCTTCATGCATCGTTTCCACGTCATCTATTGACCACCACGCGGTTTTTTCCAACCTGGAGCCGCAACTGCGAATAGGGTGCGGTGCGGCAGACGATGGCTGGACATGCNTTCCGCGTCATCTGTTGACCACCACGCGGTTTTTTCCAACCTGGAGCCGCAACTGCGAATAGGGTGCGGTGCGGCAGACGATGGCTGGACATGCGCAATAAGTGTCCTGACCAGCAAAATCGACTAATCTGAATTCGACGGGACAAGGAATTCTCCGACTCATATAAGGAGAGACATTCGTAAGCACCCACCCAGTTACTGCATTGAGAATATCACCTCGATTGGTGATGAAGTTTGCAACTATCAGTATATATTCATTATAAAATACCGAAAATCAGCCCTGGCATCGAGTTTGTTGAGGTTGGACACATTTAATCCACAACACCTCACACAGAATCATCGAAATGATGCTTCAAGACTTGTTTGTCTCGAAATAACTCTCCAAGCTTCAAATGAGATTTGCATTGCCTAATTCACATCAGGGGTTCAAGTATAAGAATGACCAGAGAAAAGATTACCGGATAAGCATACCTGAACAAGCGGCAAGGATTGCGAAATCAGTTGTGTGCTTCGGGGAAACTTTGTCCGATCATTCACTACTCATTATATATAAACCGGACTGTGGGAGACAAAATGCAACCAAATGGGTACAAAACAAACACCAATGGTTGCTAGATCATGAATAATGTCTACTAAACGAGAGGCGAACCGGTAGGACGGTCAAAATAAGATTATTCTGGTAAATTTTCAGACTGATTGGCAAATCTGACAAGATTGTGCAAAGTTTCAAAAAACTCCCCAATAAACGGACAAAAGTGTTCAGTGCGCGGGTGATTAGGTTTCAAGGGATAGTGCCGAGTAAAATGGGTGTAGGGATTGCCGTGATTGATCCTATCAATAAATTCACGCTATGCATTTAAAAAGGTAAGGTGAAGGAAAAAACAGATACGTAAAAGACTCAGTTAGGGAATGTGAATACCTATCTGTAATTGACGAACAACACAGAATGAACAAATCAGAAGGACGAGTAAAGCAGTAAAAATTTCGGAAAATAAGTTTTTACACCGAATTTTGGTAAGAAATTTGTCCAAACTCTATTGTAGCCAGAGAGTTGACAGGGAACTAGGATAACCAGATAGATGTAAAAGAACCGCTCAACTCACTTGCATTCCATCTTGACCAACTACGGCATAGGGAACGGCGCCTCCGATTTGTGTAGCGTAGGCGCCCAAATATGCTGCCGCTGTCTGACCGGGAACATAATAACCGACTGTAGATGGAGCTGCGCCCGGTGGGACTTGAGACAGAGTGGGTCGAGACATCAGATCGTGATACATTTGGAATGCGTCTAACAATCGCTGATTCAGGTCGGACAGCATCAATACTCGCTTATCCACCTTTTCCAGCTCGGGATCAACAAGCGGTGCCATAGCATTACACTCTGCCTCCAGTTGAGCGAGTTCTGGCGGATCGGGGCGAAATTCGCCGGTTGGATCGACTAAATTGATTAATCGCAGACACTCGTCCAGTTTGCCGGCGTCTAATTGAACCGCGGTATTCGGAGATGTACCAACGACGTTCGAGGGTTCTGGCGCAGAGGCCGCGGCGAGAGGCTGTGGTGCATTTGGAGCTCCCCCCTCTGGTTCTCTTTTGACAAATTGAGCGGGAAACAGACCCTCACCACGATGATTGCTACCACGCCACCAATTCTCATCGGAGTCATCCAGCAGGACGATTAATTCTCCAGCTTTAAACGTCAGTTCATTATCTTCAGCTGCCTCGAAATCGTACAGGGCACGGACTCGACCTTTGGCTACAGCAGCGGTAGATACGGACGCCTGAGTGGTTGTTTCATTAGTTAGACTAGGATAAGTCGTTTGACGATTGGCTGTGCCGCTGAAGCTGCTTTGAGCTACAGTAGACGAAGATAGTGCTGTCGCGTTGGATGAAGCGGCCCGAGCTGATGGCTTATTCTCTGACTCTTTCAGTGATAAGGCGATGGCTGAAAGTGAATCGTGAGAGAACACACATACGCACATACATTTATCACATACAACAATCCTTACATAGACATCGATGCAAATACATCGGATTGCATTTTACTTATCACAATGGTCAACCGTATTTGGACTACCTGTCACAAAGGAGAGGACTGAGGTTAATAAACTAAGATCTTTTCACATTCGAATTTACCCATCCAACAAAGGAATGTGGCATCCACCAGTTAGCATGTAAGCTGACTGCCTGACAGATTTTCCTTCGAATTCACCGGACTGCACCGAATGAGCTTCTAAGACAACGTTAATTGTTCAAATTGTTGTTTGGCAGATTTGAAGTTTGTATGGCGATTGTGAAAAGTTCAGCAGCCTCGAGGCTACTGAACTTTTCACAATCGCCATACAAACTTCAAATCTGCCAAACAACAATTTGAACAATACACTAAGAGTCCTATAAGCTCGAGCTTGAGTCGTCTTTAGAGTCAGGTGCTAACGGAAATTAGTTATGCCGACGCTGTGTTCTGAAAACATGGGAAGGCGTCATTTTTTGCCAGTTCTTTATTTAATTCCCGTCTACATTCTGTGCGATTAACTGTCTTCTTGTCTCTTTTAACCATTGTAGGGATCTATAAAAACTTACTATCGCTGAACACACTAGGCTATCTGGTCTAAAAAGTGTGATCTCTATCGTTATGAAAATTTCCGCTAATAATTCAACTCGATTACGCCTTTTATTCTTTCCTACCGGAACAGCATATGCTCGATTATCATCATTGTCTCCAGAATAATGGCACTATTTCCGAACTTGATTCATAGCACGAAAGCCTCCAAAAGCCTCAGTGTGATCGGGGGTGGTGTCTAGGTTTGCGGCTGATCATCCCTCAATTGAACTTCCCGAAATGTTCCCAAACGATCACGCATCTGAAATAGCCTC